TTTAATATAGCTGGAGAGTGCAAAGTCTGGTGCAGCTCTTCACAGAAACCAATCAGCTTCCAGGTGTTATTGCCAAAAATCAAATACATCGTTCGTTCTGTAATCCGATGGTGCCACCAATGATTTTGAAAATCAGTTGTTTTTTCACGAATTTTCCAGCATGCCCAATAAACGAAATTGGGAGAAACCACGAAAATCGGCCAGTGCCATTGCCCCACTAACAGAGCAAAAATCGGCCGATTATTCTTAGGTCCAGTTTTTCAAAAAAAAATCGTTCGGAAATCGATCCATGTATGGCCGACCTAACTAAGCAAACTGAAGTTAGATGCTGATTGGCTATCATGCACAGTTGCACCAGAATCTGAGTGCAGCAGTTTTAGTTAATCTCTCCCATTGCCTTCCAAAATAATGGTGTTTCCTATAAATATCTTTATTGAATGAATAGGAGGTCCTCTGCTATCATGACTACCTGTAGATATTGTAAGCCTATATGCACAGTTGGATTGACATACCATATCTCTTGACTGATACCATCATGTGATCTGGATTCCTTTCACCTTAACCTTTTCTTAGTAAACCCTGAAATCTTTTATTAATTAAAAATAAACTGGTGCAAATCACTTTTTTCATCAGGTCCTAAGGCAATTAATTTAGTTAAAAATAAATACGAATTATAATGTATTGGCAAAAATGTACATTTCTAACAAACATTTACTATAGGTAAACTAATTACATTAGCATATAGCAGCTACTGGCTTTTGTAAATGTTATTTTTATTTTATTATTCATTACAGGTACTTATATAATGATTATAATACTCAGTGCCTGAGGATCTATAAACAAATTCCCAGCAGCTAGAAATAAACTAACACCCCCCCCCCCCCCCCCCCCCCCCCCCCCCCCCCCCCCCCGGGCAGACCAAATCCACAGTGTACAAAAAACAGCGCTTCTTATCAAGTCAAAATTCTCTTTAAAAGTTCATTCATATTAAAAAACAAACTTCCATATAATGGTTATTATATTCTTCCCATGCTCTCACCAAACAAAGAAATAAAGCCTTTCAATCATTGCACTTCTCTTGATTGTCAGTATTCACAGTGCTTTTCTCCATGTTAGAAATCATCAATTGCATATACTGTAGTGTGGTAGGTTCAAATATGTGAATTAATAAATAAAATAAATAGGCATGCTCACATGAAAAATAAAAAATATGTGCCAAACATTATATCTCTACCATGTGAGAAAATCTTGCAATTCACTGAATTTTAGTCCGATAAGGTGCATGGTCTGAAGGGCGAGGTGTGGTGCACAGGTGGTGGATGGCTATACACTTTTGCTGGTTTAGATTACTATAGAATGTGAGTTTTATTCTATGGAGTGATGTTTATAATGTAAAAGGTACTACACTAAATGAGTGTTCTCCTTTTTGCGGGATTTTACTAAGGAAGAGGAGAAGATCAATGTGGGAAGGACATCGGAAGGATTATTATTTGTATGACTGCAAGAATCTATTGAATTGAGGGTAAGGGTAGATACGGCAGATGGCAAGATTTTTTCATGCAGTGGAAAGATAATGTTAGCACATATATTTGTATTTTTCATATGAGCATGCTAATTTATTTTATTTATTAGTTCACATATTTGAACCTACCACACTATATGCAATTTATGTTTTTTTACATGATGTGAGAGGAGCAGAGTGGAAGGACGGTGAATGCCAACACTCAAGAGAAGATAAAAGTGCAATGATTGAAAGGCTTTATTTCTTCATTGTCTGGTGAGAACAGGGGAAGAACCTTTTTTGGAAGTTTGGTTTTTGATATGAACTTTTAAACAGACTGTGGACTTTATAAGAAGTGCTGTTTTTGTACACTGTAAACTTATATGGCTCCGTCAATTTATGCAGCTCTTTTTTGCATCTACAGTATATTGTACATTCACATCGGTCCCTGCCCTCAAGGAGCGTATAATCTAAGGTCCCTAACTCACATTCATACATACACATAGAAGGACAAAATTAGACAGGAGCCAATTAACCTCCCAACATGTCTTTGGAGTGTGGGAGGAAACCAGAGTACCCAGAAGAAACTTTCCATGTGCTCCTCGCTGTGAAGGCCAGTTATAGACTGGGGCAGTGGCCACTTTTTGTACTGTTGAATTGATGGTGAGGGGGTGCACTGGACATCTTGGCTGCCATTGTGCTTCATGCTGGGTGTCCAGTGTGCTCCGGTACCTTTAAGGAGGGGTGGGCTCCCTCAGGTTCACCTGCCCTTGGTCTATCCATTAAATGCATGTGCCTCTACTATGGGGGCTCTCAAAATTTGTAGAGTTAGGACTACAGAAATATCAGGGTGCCATGATGAGGCTCTGTAGCTTGCATTTGCAAATGTGTGCTAACTAAACCCCTGTTTTTAACGTATACTGTTAGACAGGTTAATTTGGTTTGTTTGCAGGCTGGTTGGCAAATTGAGCTGGGAACTTTTCTCTCTTGTTGTTTGACAAGCGTCGCCCTTCCACGTGTTCCTTGCTGTGAAGACCAGTTATAGACTGGGGCAGTGGGCATTTTTTGTATCCAGAAGAAACCCACACAGGCACAAGAAGAACATGCAAACGCCCAGGCAGGTAGTGCCATGGTTTTTGGATTCAAAACGACTATCCTAGTTCTGCTAGGCTATGCTAAACAGTCATGTGTAGTCCAGACTGATCAAAGTGAATCTTATTTTAAGGTATGTTTTTCATATTTAGTGCAAGCATGCAAATTAATGTGTAACTCTTAAAAGCATGGATCGTATTTCTCACTTGCCTATACATTCTCTACACCATTCTACACCATTATTTTCACAACTCATCTAAAAGTGGCTAAATGGTTAGCACTTCCACCTGGCAGTACTATGGTTGTTGGTTCGAATTCCAGCCATGGCACCTCCTGCCTGGAGTTTGCATGTTCTCCTTGTGCCTGCTTGGGTTTCCTCAGGGTACTCCAGTTTCCTCCACACTCCAAAGACATGCTGGTAGGTTAATTGAATTCTGTCTAAACTGGCTCTAGTATGTGTATGTATGGATGTAAGTTAGGGACCTTAGATTGCATGCCCCTTGAGGGTTAGGGACTGATGTGAATGTGCAATATATATGTAAAGCACTGTGTAAATTGACGGCACTATATAATTACCTGAAATAAAACTAAAAAAATCGTTTTTTCTGCTTCCAATTTGTTTAGCTACTGACAAGCCTGGAGGTACCCCAGAGCTGAAATGCATTTTTCCTAGCGATGCAATGCTTTTGTCTGATAGTACATGTTTTTACAGAATGTTGATTACAGATTTTGGTCAACTATGCTAATGTGTCCTTTGTTGCCAATGTATGCTTTCATAATGGTTTACCATCACTTGATACGATATATATATATATATATATATATATATATACACACACACTGTGTGCACGATGAGGTTGAAGATGGACTCAAAACTCCCAAACCTACTGCCAACGTTTAATAGACACTTTTCTCAAGCAGTGGTACAGGAAGAAGTCTGTATCTTTCAAGAAGACCATGATATTTATGCAGGAGAATACTCCATCACATGCATCAAACTACTCCACTGCGTGGCTAGAGAGTAAAGACCTTAAAGATGAAGGAATAATGACATGGTCCCTTTCCTCACCTGTCCTAAACCCTATTGAGACGTTATGCGTTATGGGCCCTTCTTAAATAGATTTACGGTGAAGGAACACAGTACACCTCTCTGAACACTGTCTGGGAGGCTGTGGTTGCTGCTGCACAAAAAGTTGATCGTCAACAGATCAAGAAACTGACAGACTCTATGAATGGAATGCTTATGACTGTTATTGATTAAAAGGGTGGCTATATTGTTCTCTGATTTATTTTTTTTTTAAGTCAGAAATGTTTTTTTGTCAATTTTGAGTTGTTTATTTATTATTCTCAGTTTAACAGATGAAAATAAACAAGTGAGATGGGAAATTTTTTGTTTTTCATTTAGTTGCATAATAATTCTGCACACTAATAGTTGGCCAATAATTGTGCACACATAAATATTCTCCAAAGAAAGCCAACCAAGTTTATTAACATTTTGGATTGACCGAGAGCACTGCAGTTCAATAATGAAATGAATCCTCAAACCTGCCTAATAATTTGTGTGTGTATGTATGTATGTATGTATGTATATATATACATACATACATATATACATACACAGTGTATTGCTAGAGGTATTGGGATGCCTGCCTTTACACGTACATGAACTTTAATAGCATCCCAGTCTTAGTCCGTAGGGTTCAATATTGAGTTGGCCCACCCTTTGCAGCTATAACAGCTTCAACTCTTCTGGAAGGCTGTCCATTATTAGTGTGTCTATGGGAATGTTTGATCAATCATTTGTGAGGTCAGGCGTTGATGTTGGACAAGAAGGCCTGGTTTGCAGTCTCCGCTCTAATTCATCCCAAAGGTGTTCTATCAGGTTGAGGTCAGGACTCTGTGCAAGCCAGTCAAGTTCCTCCACCCCAAACTCGCTCATCCATGTCTTTATGGACCTTGATTTGTGCACTGGCGTGCAGTCATGTTGGAACAGGAAGGGGCCATCCCCAAACTGTTCCCACAAAGTTGGTTGCATGAAACTGTCCAAAATGTCTTGGTATGCTGATGCCTAAAGAATTCCCTTCACTGGAACTAAGGGGCCAAGTCCAACCCCCTGAAAAACAACCCCACGACCATAATCCCCCTCCACCAAACTTTACACTTGGCACAATGCAGTCATGAAAGTACCGGTCTCCTGGTAACTGCCAAACCCAGATACGTCCATCAGATTGCCAGACAGAGAAGCTTGATTCATCACTTCAGAAAAACACGTCTCCACTGCTCTAGAGTCCAGTGGCGATGTGCTTTACACCACTGCTCTAGAGTCCAGTGGTGACATGCTTTACACCACTGCATCCGACGCTTTGCATTGCACTTGGTGATGTAGGGCTTGGATGCAGCTGCTCGACCATGGAAACCCATTCCATGAAGCTCTCTACGCACTGTTTTTATGATAATCTGAAGGCCACATGAAGCTTGGAGGTCTTTAGCTATTGACTCTGCAGACAGTTGGCGACTTCTGCGCACTGTGTGCTTCAGCATGCGCTGACCCCGCTCTGTCATTTTCCCTGGCCTACATCTTCATGGCTGAGTTGTTGTCATTCCCACTTGCTTCCACTTTGTTATAATACCATTAACCATTGATCGTGGAATATTTAGTGGCAAGGAAATTTCACAGATGGACTTATTGCACAGGTGGCAACCTATCACTGTACCATGCTTGAAGTCACTGAGCTCCTGAGAGCGACCCATTCTTTCACAAATGTTTGTAGAAGCAGTCTGCATGCCTAAGTGCTTGATTTTATAGATCTGTGGCCATGGAGGTCTTTGGAACACCTGAGTACAATGATTTGGAGGGGTGTCCCAATATTTTGGTAATATATATATATATATATATATATATATATATATATAACTTGATATGTGTCATGCTGGTTACCTTTAATAAGCACAGACTGATCCAGTAGTTTGTAACCTGTCTTGTCTATGTAACAAAACCTAATGAAATAAGACTGAACTCTAAGTAGGGATCATCTCTCAATCGCTTCATAGTAATGCCCCCCACAATACCTTTATCTTATTTTCTCCTCACAAGGCTGGCACCATCTTTGTTCAGGCATTCCCCAAGACCAGGATTTATTTCTTGGACTATGATGCTGGTCTGAGGGTAAAACAGCAATATGAATCCTGGTGTCTACACAGTAGTTGTTAATTTTTGAGCTTGTGTACATGTCTCATACAGATCAGCCTCCTTTGCAGCCTCTCACTCTGTGATCAACTACTGTAAAAATCTGACCTTCCACAGTATAAATCTATCACAGTCTCACAGAGATCAGTCTCATTGCTGTCTTTTACCATCATGCCTGCCAGAGCATTACAATGTGCAGAATGTTCACTGGGTAATGGAAGGCAGATGAAATATTTCCTTCAAGTCCCCAAGATGCTTCTCTCAGGGGTGGAACTCAGGAATAATTTTTAAAGATAAAAATGACTGTTTATTAGAAAAATTATACCGTTGTATATTATGATATGTCAATTTTCACAAATTTGTGAAGTTACTGATAGCCTTATTTTACTGTATTTACATGTATACCTTGCTATCTGCAAATATTGCAAACCCTTCTTCTTTTTAGAACACATTTTTTTTTCAAATGAGATACATATCAGGAAGATATACAATGATAACTTTGGAACCTGTCCTGAGAAAAAAAACATCAGGCCGCTATGATCAACCTTTCTTTCTGAAAATGCTATTTCTCTTGCTGTCATGTCAATTATGAATCTGTGGTTTCTATATTTTTTGTGTCACTGACCTGAAATACACATGCAGATCATAAGGCCTGAAACTGAGTTGTCTTTGCTTAATGCTCCTTCTGGGTTGGTCAGTGACATAGAAACTATTAAAATTAGAGAAATGTAATATGAATAGTATGTATGTATGTATATAACATTTTAGGGGGTGGACAGCACCAACAGGTAAAGATAGTAACCTATTCTTCTAACTAGGTGTTTCCCCAAAAATACACACACATGTATTTGTCATCCTACTGGTTGCCAGTTATTGGTGTGAAAACTTTATAAACTGAGGCATGCTGCCCTCTACTGGATAATGACATAATATGCAATTATGTTTTTCTTGTTAAAGGAAAAGTGCACATATTTAAATCCTGTTTATTATTATTTAATAATAATAATAATTAAAAAAAAATATATAATAAATGCACATTTTTTTTTGCAGGTAAAAAAATGTGCATTTATTGTTTTTTGTTGTAGGAGCTTGTAAAGCATTTCACGAGCTATCAGCAGATCACTGGTGTTATGTTTTACAAGCTCCTACAACCAGCCTTTTTTTAAAGCAATCCACTGAGCTGGCCAGAACCAACTCTTGAGGGAGTCTACTCCACATTTTCACAGCTCTTACTGTGAAGAAACCTTTCCGTGTTTGGAGATTACATTTCTTTTCCTCCAGGCATAAAGAGTGCCCCCTTGTCCTCTGTGATGACCTCAGGGTGAATAGCTCTACACCGAGTTCACTATATGAACCACTGATGTATTTATACATGTTGATCATATCCCCCCTTAATCTCCTCTTCTCAAGAGAGAATAAATTCAGTTCCTCTAATCTTTCCTCATAGCTGAGCTCCTCCGTTCCTCTTATCAGTTTGGTTGCCCTTCTCTGTACTTTCTCCAGTTCCCCAATGTTCTTTTTTGTGAATTGGTGCCCAAAACTGAACTGCATATCCCAGATGAGGTATTACGAATGATTTGTACAGGGGTAAGATGATATCTCTCTCTCTGGAGTCTAGACCTCTTTTAATACGAGAGGAAAGCGTATAACCTTACATTTATCAACATTAAACTCCATTTGCCACATAGTTGCCCAATTAAACAGTGCATTGAGATCAGCTTGTAAGTTGGAGACATCCTGTAAGGGCGTTATTCCACTGCACAGCTTGGTGTCATCTGCAAAGACTGAAATGGGATTTATAATCCCAGACCCTATATCGTTTATAAATATAGTAAAAAGTAAGGGTCCCAACACTGAACCTTGGGGTACACCACTGACAACCCTAGACCATTCAGAGTATGAATCATTAACCACTACTCTCTGAATACGATCTTTTAGCCAATTTTCAATCCATTTATATATGGATTTTTCCAAGCCGTAGACTTACACATTAGTCATGTGTGGGGAACTGTGTCAAACACTTTTGCGAAATCCACCCCTCTGTCCAAGGTTTTGCTCACCTCCTCATAAAAAGAAATCAGATCTGATTGACAACTTCTGTCTTTTCATGAATCCATGCTGTCTGTTGCTTAAAATGTTTTTTTCCAGCAAGAACTCATCTATGTGGTCTTCTATTAAACTCTCCAGTATCTTCCCAACTATAGAAGTTAAACTAACAGGTCTATAATTACTTGGTAAAGATTTTGACCCCTTTTTAAATATTGGCACCACATTGGCCTTACGCCAATCCAGTGGTACTATGCCAGTCATTAAAGAGTCCTTAAAAATAAGAAATGACATGACAGCGCTCAATTCTTTAAGCCCAAAAAACATGTGAATAAGATGTTCATGAAGAAGCGGTTACATACAAGGACAATGCGGTAAACCGACACATAAATAATGTGTAAATGCTTTATTAATATAAAAATATATATACAGAATATGCCAAATATTCAGAGAAAAATTGACTACATAGTAACCATCACCTCACCCCAGACAACGCTGTCTGTGCAACCTAAAATAAAGATGAAAAAGAGACGTCATTGCATGACCATATCAAGTGAATTGTGTTAATATGACAGCGACATCACTGTCTTCTGCCAAACAATAGCATCGAGGTGCACCACTGGGATGTGAAGTGTAGACCTGGTGTTAGTAAATATCCAATAATGCCAGATGAATGTGGATAGTACAAAGTCCAATATATATCACTGGGAATATGATGTGTAAACCGTCCAATCACAGTAGAGTGATTAATGCAGTCCCAGAGTAAACTTGGATATGTAGCTCAGTTTAATAGATGACCAGGCGAACTAAGTCAGGGCATGCATAGGCAGTAGAAATGCAGTTCACTATGTGAGGATGGCGGCACTGATAGAAATATGCAGCAAATAGGGTGAGTGATGACATGAAATCTCAGGTTGCTTGTATACACAAGCCAAACCCAAGTGCTCCCGTTGGGATCATCCAGTGAATTTGCTGACAAAAAAGTCCTTGCTGGCAATGTACGGCTATTTATGGAGAGTAATTCAGCCTATGGCTAACAATTTACTATCCTGTAAAAAGTGCCGTGTCGCACATGTATGGACAGGGTATATTTACTCACCACCAGCCGTTGTCAAGAGTATGCAAGCTCACCCTTGCTGAAGATAATGTAAGTCCTCAATGGGAATCCATGTGATGACCGCTAGAGACTGTAAGTTCTCACAGGTAAATCATGGCTATACAGTTTTTTTGGTTACTGGACAGCACAGATGTTGTGTAGCAGAACCTAACAACTCTTAAACCTCCTTCCATACTTTTTTTGACTCATAATTCTTTAAGGACCCGTGGCTTTATGCCATGCAGTCCAGGTGCTTTATTTACCTTTATTCTGTCTAAATATTTCTGGATCATATCAATTGTGAGTCAATGTGAATCATATAGAGCTGTGTCAATACCAATCCCATTATGGACAAGAGCTCCCCCATACTCCTTTGTATACACAGAGCTGAAGAAGGTATTTAATAAAATTTGTCTTCTCTTTGTCCCCAGTCACCCACTCTAGATTATTTTGTAAATAGCCTACATGCTGGGACCGGACCTTTTTACTATTTATATATTTGAAGAATTTTTGGGGGTTGGTCCTGCATCTTTTGCAATCTGTCGTTCGTTTTCAATTTTTGCGTTCCTTCATTTTTATATTTAATAAAAGCTCTTTTCTTATTATCTAGCTTTTTTAACTTTGGCCGTAAGCCACATAGGTTTAATTTTTAGCCTTTTTAACTTGTTGCCCATGGGAATATATTTTGCAGTGTGTTCACATACAGTCTTTTTGAAGAACTCCCATTTCATTGTTGTGTTCATCAATGCCAATTATCCCTCCCAGTCTAAATCTTGGAGAGCAGCTCTCGGCCTTGGAAGATTAGCCCTCTTAAAATTGAGCATTTTTATTTATCCTGTATGTGCTTGCGGTTTACATCTAACAATAAATGATATCATGTTATGGTCACTGCTACCCAGATGTTCTTTTATATGGACATTTGTAATAAGCTCTGCATGGTTTGAGACTACCGGGTCCAGCAGAACATCATTCCTAGTAGGGGCTTTTATGAACTGTACCATAACATTGTCCTGTAGTAGGTTTAAACATTTTTGCCCTTTAGCTGTTCCTGCAGTACCATTACTCCAGTCAATTTCCAGGTAGTTAAAATTCCCCATTATTATCACTCTCCCAGCCCTTGCAGCCCTTTCGATCTGTGCAAGGAGGTGAGTCTCCACTTCCTCATTAACAATGGGAGGCCTATAACAAACTCCAATGATTACCTTTGTAGTACGCACACCCATGTGCAGTTCCACAATGGTCCCATAATACTTCAGCTCATCACACTCTCCATCACTCTCCTGAGATTTGCAGCAGTTGTTTTCTTATTCCGGGAAACAATCCTGTGCAATGTCCTTTTGTCTCTTTTAGTCAGTTGACCATGTTGACCATGCTCAGGTGACATTTGCCTGGAAACTGTATATGCCGCCATAACCTTTGATACTGGACCTCGCGACACCGCAAATACATTTGCTA